AGGTTTATATTAAAATATAATATTATAATTTATGCTATTATAATGGTAGTTTCAATCGTGATTTAAGATATAATATTGGATTGGTAACCATGGTATTGGGTATGAGGCATGAAAGTATTTCCCAAACTTTTTGATACACAATTTATTATTTAGACCCTTCTTCGGTATGGYGACCCACAGAAAAATATTTCAGGTACCTTTATACAGTATTGTTATATTTCTATTTTAATATTATAAGTTCTACATTATTAAAATTAGTAATTAGAAATATAACTCAATCGCTTAATCTTATATGATGTATAAAAGTAATATGCTTGTGACAATTAAAAAAACGTCACGACCTGTAGGTTGACAAACACTGGGTTTTATTATAATATATAATATATAATTAGGAACTATTAGAAAGGCACTCATTGATATTTTGAAATGCACAATCACAGAATAGAATAATTAAATTTAGACTAATGATTTCAAAATAAAATAATTTAAACGTTATACCTACATAATTATATACAAAATAACTTTAATATATATATATATATATATATATAAATGCTACTAGTGTACACATCAAATTATTTGAAATAGTATTATAATTATGTGTACAAATAAAATATTATGAACTGAATCAATTACCTATACCTATATACCTATGCCTTTGCCTTTATGCGTCACTGCATTGGGTGTATATTAATTTAGATATATTTGATTTTTATATGATTTATGATGATAACGGTAGACATAAATATAATCTTACACTTATAAATTATATATATATATATTATTCTATATGGACATACTTGTAGTAATATTATATAAATGTTTCGGGAAATAATAATTTGAATATCATTTCGTATAATCGTATGGACGATTTTTTAGAAAATATTTAATTAATTGTTAAATAATAAATTATGATAATCGAGCGTGTCGCTCCATATAAAGCTATTATAATTTATAATTTATAATAATAATAATAAAAACAACAATAATAATATAATCGAGGTCATGTCGTAGATAGGTATATATCCATCAACGTGTTTTAGTATAAATATTTAAACAAAAATTTAATTTATTTTTAATCGTATTGGAGTAGTCAATAACACGTGCGTAATAAATATGAGTGCCTATGCTTACAGGTATACCTATTGATAATTGATATTATAGTCTATAGGTAAAATACTAATTTTCAAAAACCTAAATAGGTATTTAAATATATATTTCTAT